CCTTAGAAGAATATTTAGAGGTTTAAAACATAAATACGAATTTATTCTAAATTGAAAAGCAAATTAGAGATATTAAAAATAATAAATAAAAATAATACATTGCGAAATTGATCTAAAAATAAAAATAGACTAATCAATAAAATGGTTATAGATTAAAAAATGTATTCAATAGAGTGTGCTAAACATAGTAAGAATTAAATTTTTGCTTTATGGATAATAATTTAATTAAGAATTATGAAGATTTAAAAATGTAAGAGAGTAGGTTATCAATAGAATTAAATTTAATAAATTAAAAGACTTAAGATAGATAAATAAACTCTTAAGAATTAAAATAAATGAATAAATTCTTTAGGTATAATCTAACATATTTTATTTAATAATAAAATCCCTAAGTAATATGAGATATAAGCGTTTAACAAAGCTTACTAATAGAATTTAGAATCATATGAAAAGATGTTGGCTTTAGTTAATTATATAAAGTAATATCACTTAACAAGATATTATGAAAGATTAAAAGAAAATAAATTTTAATACCAGAACTAATAATTGATTTAAAAAATAAAGTGACTTCGAAAAGTCATTCTGATCTTTATTGAATGCAGATTAGGAAAAAGCCCCAAAAATGAGAAGGAAGCTTAAGATAAATTTTTAGATATATGAGAATATTGTAGATAACATTTACATTAAGATGACAAAAGAAACAATGGAAAAAGATAAATTATAAATAGAGAAACAGCTTTTAGAAATAGAAAGTCAGATAAAACAGCATAATTAGTAAAATTAGAATAATGATCAATAAGTTATAAAAGATATTATTAATTACAGAGAATTTTATCAAATAAATGAGTTTGCGTAAAAATGAATCTTAAATAAATTATAATTTAGCCATCAATATTGATTAATATTATCAAATTTTATAAAATATACTTTTAAGGTATCATTACTATTCTAATTATATAATTGTATTTTTATCAATAGAAAAAGTAAAATTCAAAGATTTTCTTTCCAAAAAAACAATATTCTGTTTTTGTAACATTAATTTTAAAATTGAATGATTAAATAATCTAATAGAAATTTTATATTTAAAAGAGACTGATTTAATTAATATTGTGTTGATGTATAATTGTATTATAAAAGAATTAAACTTAATTCAAACTTGCATTTATTTGGTCCCTAAAATAACTTATATATTTTTGTTTATTAATAATCGAATTGTTATTTAATTATCCATATATAAATGATTAAATAAAATAATGAAATAAATCAATAATAATATATATATATTCTGAAAAATAAAAAATACAACTTACTACTAGTACTTAACAATCAAGTTTAAAATGAATAATATCTTGATGTATAGAAACTGAAAGTTCATTAGAAAATAAACTGCAGGTTGCAGCTACAGCTATTAACTATTCTTTCTGTCACTTTGAAGAGCTTTCCTTATCAAAAGGAGGGCATATGCAATTTAAAACTAATTTTAGGTATTAATTAGGAATAATGATGCTACTCACCTTATAAATAATTTGATATTGTTCATTGATATAAATTTAAACTTCTATTTTAGTTAATATATAAAACAGCAATTATATTCTTGTCATCAGAAGGGAAAATATATAAAATAGCAAGTATACATGAATAATCAAAAGTCACATATCAAAATTGATAGTTGAACCATTCTAAGACTATTGGTCAACAACTCGCCTTTAAATCACCAAAAGTTATCGCAAAAATATGGAGATAAAAATGGATTATCCAAAACGAAAAACATCATCAAAAGATAAGACCCCAGAATAAATCATACATCGTCTCACCCAAAAGGCTTGACAAACTAGATCTTAAGGGCCATCCTAAGTTTTACTGGTTAATATAAAATATTGAATGCTACAATCATAAGATCACTCACAACATTATAAACATCATATAATTCCTATTAATAACAAAAATGTTGAGACAATTTTAAAAAAGTAACTTTTACTTCATCTCCCTAAGCTTTTTGAGGTTGCGACTGGTGTTAAGGATTGTTAAGAAAAGGATTTGATGGTGTTAAAACCAAATCTAAGGGTTGCTAGAGAGGCTACACAAGCCCTCTATTTCTTCAGGAGCATGATTCAGAGGGGTTAGCCAAATCCCTATGCCATCAGAGATATAAAGAAGAGAAGATAGTATTCTAAGAAATAGTAGAGCAAAACATTAACATTAATATAAGCCATAATCTTAAATAGAATTGCTCATATTTGCTCTTTTTCTTATTATATTACCATAAAATTCAAATTTCGTATAAATTAAATTATTCTTCATACAATCAATTATTCTATATTATTAAAGAATAAAGTTATGCAAATTTTGAATTGAATTCTCAATACCATATCCTATCTCAATTAAATCAATTCCAAATCTACAAAAAAACTGAACTTCTTTTTTAAAAAAATATATAAGATACTTTTGTTGATTTGCTTATATAACATAAAGTTAGAGTAATAAAAATTCAATATTAAAAATAATGAATTGTACCTATCATATCAGAAATTCATATTCTTTGATTTGCAAAGTTCCTCACAAGGGCGAATGTTAAAGGAAACTTTGTGATGAATGTCTTAATAAACATGGTGTTGATTTGAAACATACAATTCCTATAAAAATATTTCGAGAAATGGCTATGAAGGAATTAAAAGACTCCAAGCTTGACGAGACATCTAAGTTAAACGAAAAGAGAATGGCCTTTAAATACTTGCTCTCTCAAACCAAATCTATGCTAAAGAAAATTTGGGAAGAATTATAAAAATTTATCAATTAAGTATATCATATGATTGAAAAGGAAAACTAATCATTCTTAAATCTCATAACGAAAATACTAATCTAGCTGAATCCTCTTAAAAAGATTTAGAAAAATTAGTAAACATGGTAGAAGGAACAAATCTATCTGATTGGAATGCTTAGAAGAATTTTTATATGAAGGAGTTAGATAAGACAAAGAGTTGGTGGAACTATCATATTAAGGCTTTTATAGAAAAGTCTAACCTAGAAATTCAATAGATTCAATAATTAATTAAGTAAGTATTTAAATCATATATCTAGGATTCAACCTAATCAAAAAGAAGAAACCGAAGTTTATATAATGAAAGAAGAACTTTTTGAAGTCTTAACTTACATTGAGGATATTGATGAATCTATACATAAGAAAATTCTTTAAATACAATGTTTCAGATATTTTTGGATTCCTTTCGAAGAAAAACAATTTTACGAATCTTAATTCAACAAGCAAGAGAATATAAGCTTCATAAATTATTAAATAAATAAAATCACAAATGTCTTGAAAAATATTAAGGACCATTAATTTAATAAAGATGACTATTCTTCGAAGACTTACGAAAAGGAAAGATAAGATCTAATTAAGTAGATAGTAAAAAATAAGAGGAGCATAGATTTTATAAAGTTTTAGTTTTTCTAACAAGCATAGATGCAAAATTTATTTAATGTGGATCTAATTCAGGTTGATCTAAGGAACCTATCTTTTGAGAATATTAGGATAAAGAATACTTCTTTGATTGGAGGTAATTTTGTGCAATGCAATTTAAATGGATCGGAATTTGATAACGTTGATTTTAGTGGATTGAATTTGAATGGTACCTAGATGTTTAATTGTAAATGGAAGAATATTAAAATCCATAAATTCAATAAATTGGATGGTCATAATAGTTGAGTGAATTCTGTCCATTTCTCTCCTGATGGAACTACTTTAGCATCTAGTAGTGGTAATATTTATTAAGGTAGTGATTGTTCTATCCGTCTATGGGATATAAAAACAGGATAATCAAAAGCCAAATTAGTTGGTCATACTAGTCAAGTAATGTCAGTCTATTTCTCTCCTGATGGTAATATATTAGCATCTGGTAGTTATGATAAGTCTATCCGTTTATGGGATGTCATAATAGGATACTAAAAAGCCAAATTAGATGTTCATACAAGCCCTGTCTATTCGGTCTGTTTCTCTCCTGATGGAAATACATTAGCATCTCGTACTGATGATAACTCTGTTCGTACCTGGGATGTTGAAACTGGATAAGAAATTCAATCCTCTGATTAAAATTATAAAGATGTTTTAATGAAATTTAAAACTCCATTCCTATAACATAATGCTATTTCAGAACGTGGTATTTAAGATTTTTATATTATTAGTCTCTAATTATATTGCAACACTTCTTATATCTTAATAAGCAATATTTTAAGCAAAAGGAGCTCTAATACTGAAAGGAGAATTTATTAATCAATTTTAAAGACATTATTAAAACAACAAGGAAGTTGCTTTTTGGAAAATTTAAAGTAAAAGTGGATTTGATTATTATCAGAAAAATTACAAATTTATTTACAACCAATTTCTTTTGTCTTTATCGGTCTGCTCTTCAACTTCATTTCTTAAAATATATAAAAACATTTCTATCCAAAGTTTAATTCCATTTTAGTTAAATATACGCCTCTTTTACTTTAGTATTTTTAAATCTATGATCAGCCTAGCACAGGGAATATTTATTGAGATGTCATAAAATTTATCAATAAATATTTATAGAAGTTTAAATTTAAATGATACTACATTAAATAAATAACCTAAACAGAGATCAGTGAGCCTAACAAAGAGATTAAAAGAAAGCGCAAAATAATTATTTAAAGAACATTAAAGGTAAATTAACACAATGGCATTTTTTTAATAATCTAGGATACAAAGATAATAATAAGATGCCAAGAATTTAAAAAATAATGTTGATCCTATTTTATTTAAGCAATTAACCTAAACTATAAAAAAGTAAAGAAAATAGGTAGAATGATTTTAAAAGTGCTTTTATTATTATTTATAAACTCAAAC